ATGAGAATTTTTTTTTATTCTTAATTTAATAAATTCTTAATATAAAAATCATGATTTCTTTATACAATAATACAACACTGTGTTTTCTTCTTTAATTTAGGAAATGGTTGTGGTGTATTTGTTGTTATTAATAAATTATTTTGAACTAATAATCTTCCAATTTGTTGAAACAATTCATCTACATTATTATTTGATTTAGCACTTGTTTCAATATATTCAAACCCTTCTCTTTTAGCAAGGTCTTCTGCCTCTTGACTAGAAACAATTCTATTTGCAGCTAAATCAGTTTTATTTCCTACAAGATATTTAATAATATCTTTAGGTGCATAATACCCAACATCTTTTAACCATCCTTTAACACTTTCATATGTTGTTCTATCAGAAATATCAAATACTACAATGACAACATTACATCCTTCATAATAACTTCTTGACATCATTGAATCTTGTTGTTTTGATTCAAAATCCCACTACATATTTATTATTTGATTTTTCTATTAAACCAAATGAATTAATAAAATAAAAACAAACTACAACAAATAAATTACTTTTTCTTCTCAACTGTGACTCAATTTTGAAATTATTTATTAACTAGTTTTTAATGCCGTTCTTTTTCTAACTCCTTAGTCCCTTATTTTGCTTCATACTTCTTTTCTACTAACTTTCAATTTTAACTAATTTTTGTATAACAAACCAAAAAACAAAATGATGAACAAAACGAAATTTGAATTATGCATTGAATCCATCTAAATGAGGTTCATCATCGTCTTCGATAATTGGATTAGCTTCTTCGTCATGTTGATAATCTTCGTCATCAGTATCTTTCTTTTGTTCTTTAGATTTCATGTAATAAGCCAATAAAACACCAATAATTGCAATAATAATGAAGAACAACAAGAAACAGCAAACTGTAACTATAATTGCTGTACTTTGTCCAATTTGAGGATAACATTGTCTCATATATGTTGAATAAAAGTATCCAACATCACATTCACAATTTACACCAATACAATATTTAGCAGTATAGTTACTAATGTCAATAGAAACTCCTTTTAATACACCATTTGTTTGGATTTCTGATTTTCCTCCAAGATAAAGAACTTTATTATTCATTTGTATTGAATATCCAGCATATCCATAAGTAGTAGTTCCAGTAGAATTATAAACTAATGCAAATCTTCCTGAACCAGTAGAAGTTAAATATTTATCAAAGAAAATTTTTACACCTCCAACACGTTCTTTTGAACCTTCAGTATAACCAAAAAGTCCAATTGCAACAAAAGAACCATATGTAGAAATCATTGGAGCATATAAAGTATTAATTGGAGTTATTGATGAAGAATTACCATTAATTTTAACATTTTCAATATAATCAGGTGAACTAAATGAACTACTAGGAGAATTAACTTGAATTCTTCCAACATCAGATAATACATTATAAATAACATCATGTT